TTACTTCGAGCTGAAAGCGGTTGATGCAATTAACCAATGACGAACCATGCTTTAAAATAATGATTTTGAAAAAAAAAAACTTGTTTATGGCTACACAGTTGACAGATAAAGGTTTTGTTTTTGCCATGTTCTTGTGTAGCAGTGTTAAGGTTGTAGAATCCCATTGCTTCATATGTATCAGTGCAATAAGGAAATAGCGCCCCTCTTTGTGTGGCTGGTTATATGTTGCTGGCCCCTGTTCTCAGTGCCAGTCTGTGAACGCTGCATGGGAGGTGAGGAGCATTCTTCAGCTCACAGTAGAAAAGTGTTAGCAACACATAAAACACATTTTTTATTAACTTAGATACGGCCAGTCTGTGAAAGCTGCGCAAGAGTGTGCTGAGTGAAGCTGAGCCCCTTGGCCTGTTGTAATTCAGGAAATAAATTGCCTGATCACCCACAAACTCCTAGTCTTCATTAAAAACAACCACACAGTGCAGAGTGGAGGGGCCTGGTACAATGGAACGAAGCAGAACCCGGTTACACTTGCACCTCTTTCTCTTTCTAACGCCTCCTAGTTAAGTGCCTATATGTCCTATATCAAGAAACACCAATTGGTTTAAACACAGACACACTCTTTCAGGGAAACAACACCTCCAGAGTTTTTTCTGCCGCAGCAGTTTGAGTCGTTTAAACAGCGCTGCGTCTTTACAGTTCTTCTCGAACTGAAACTGCTTCGTAGCAAATAAAACGCTCTTACATGTGTTATCATCTGTATGTCAGGATTCTACTTCATGTTTCAACACACGACGTCATATGTGTTTGAATATCACCACATCCTAGGCTTGTATAACCAAATGAAAACAATCTGATTGGTCGTCGCACTTTCCCAGCATTCCCATAGTGAGGTGACTCATCATAGGAAATTCCTTATCTAATTAGAAAACAGACCACCTACATGCAGCTAGGAAGACAGTAATTCTGATGGGAAACAATGTTATTTCATTTAGAGTGCGCTCGTTTAAGACAAAATAGAGAAAATCCACTGTTTTAAGGAAGGAATTAGAAGAACTGTGAAACATAATTTTAAGGGTTTTGAAAAATGGAGACCATGTCAGTTTCATAGAACCTCTTTAGTATCTGCTAAGGTTTATTTTATTTTACAACTTGTCCTAAAATATACTGATAAAAGCGACAGTAAACTGGGTCAGATTTCACTGACCCAGCTAGAAATGTTACTTGGGCTCAAACAAATAAAATGGAAAAACTGTTTTTTCTTTTTAAATGTTGTTTTTCTCAGGTCAAAGTTTATGCAAATCTAAGCCACATCTGCCTTATTAGCATAGATTTTTATGAAAAGCATTTAAAATGAATGTATATTAAATGTTTTCCTTGCTAATTTCCAGCATTCCCCAAACCATGCATCCCTTTCCTGCAACAACACAAAATCATACAAAGAGTATTTTTGGTCTATTTTCTTGTGCAAATATCTAAGTGCACCTGAAATAAGACAAAGTTAACTGAAAAATAACTTTTCAGCAGAATTAATGAGCTTGTATTAAGTCATTAATTACTTAATATTGCTGAAAAACTACTGCTTCCACTGGCAGATAAATTGACTTATTTTTCCATATGATAAATGAAATTATCTGCCAGTGGAACTAGAACGTTTTAATTAACGTTAAAGAATTATTGACTTCAAACAAGCTCCCGTTCTTGCTGAAGTGTCACTTGTACGTTAGTTTTGTCTCATTTCAAGTGTACTAAAACATTTAGCACTGGGAACCAGACCAAATAAATACTTGGGAGTATTATGTGTTTGATATGCGGAGGCCCACACGACACACTGATTGCAGTAATTCTGAGAGAGCGCTCAGTAATACAGTAGCTCGGCCTGTTACCATAACAGGCAGCTCATCTCCACAACAGAGAGGAGTGTGGAGTGTCACGCTGGACATGGTTTGACATTTTGCTCCTTCTCACTGATGATATATGCGCTTTGCCCTGCGGGACGTTCGCTTTCCACTAGTCTGTGAGACGACTCCGTTGTTGTCACATGGGCATGCGCGCACAAAAGCCGCATAATAGAGATTAAAAGAAAGCATGTGTTCCCGTCTTCTTTGAAACTTATTTGTGATATATTTATGAACGTCACAGTGGCTGTGGGGGCTAAGTGGGATCCACATCAGTGGGAAAACTTGTGACTCTGTGACCAAGGTTTAACTATTGCACCCACTGCACCCACTATTGGTTCCCCTGGGAAAAAAATATGTTGAGATGAAAACGTCTTACAAGATCACAGCTATACTCTTCGCAGTGGTATTCCTTTAAAATACTGATAAAAATTCACTTGAAATTGCCTAGAATATGCAAATTGTTTGTCACAGAGGGTTTGATGACAGGATTTATGGTGAAAGATCTGAAATGCTGTGGGTCCGTTGGCTACCCAAAAGCTGGAGGAATCTTGATGGCATCGTGAATCTGTTGCAATAACATAGAATGTTATATGTGAAAGATGCATTGAATCAATTTTATGCTGTACTTTTTATATGATTAATACAAGAATTGAAGTTACGACTGTAAATATATTTTAGGTATTTCTGCACACAGTTTATGTTAAAGTACCTGTACACAAAAAAGAAGGAGAGATTGAATTTGTTTCATTTTAAACACCCAAATTTGCAGTTGGCCGTATTTTTGCGATTAAATATTAATTAATTTGTAGCTATTTTTTATTAGACTATTATCTAGCAGTCATTCCTGTTATATACTAATTTGCATTCCACTATTTCTTAGGATTTTAAGTTCTTTTTTTAAAATCTTGTGTAATAAAAAATAACATAGGAGCAAGATACATTTTGGAGTTAAATGTTAAGACATTTTCTATTTTAACCCATGATATTCATGTATGACAGCTGTGCTGGTGTTTGACAATGGTTCAGGCATAATGAGCTTCACAGCCTCAAAACAGTAATGGCAGCAACAAGCATAAAATAAGCTGCCTTAAAACAACACAATGTGTCTTTGAATGTTTAAATGTGTTCGTGTTAAACTGGGGAAGTGGGTGTATGACCTTGACTTGACCTCTTTACCAGCTCACTTGACCTCCGACCTTCCACCTACATGGTTTCAGATTTTAAAAAGCTAGAAACCGACAACTTGTTGCTGTCACTGCTAACTGATTATAGAAATGATCCCACTCAGATGAGCATTTCTTTGAATCTAAGTGTGCTATTCTTAATAACTGTTCAGTATTTAGGCAGTATTTTGATTTTGTTATATTTTATCTGGTGAGAATTTCCACTTGGTGCTGGTACATGTCAGTTTTGCCACTGAAAGACAATAAAGCACATTGTCGTCCAGTCTGGTCTATAGAATAGCTTCATAGCTTCACAAGAATTTCTTTCTTGCCTTACAGAAAGAAATGAGGTTAGAACAGGGCTCTAATCTGTCTGGAGCTTTTTTACATGGAGATTGAGAGTTCTCCTTGTGCATGTGTGGGTTAACTCCAGGGACTCCGGCTTCCTTCTGCAGTCCAAAAACATAGTTTCTCTTAAGAGTGAATGTGTTGGTTGGTTGGTTGACTGACTGGTGGGTTGATTGTCCTTTATGTTCTGGCGACAGGTGATCCACTAGCATGTGCACCTTGTCTGCACCCTACGTGGGTATAAACAATGGAGGAATGATTATATACTATATTTACTCTTACACTTAGACTCAAATAACTTGGATGCTAGTCTGGAATTTGTTTTGAAGACGACTGGGACTGACAGGAAAGTCACGAGGCAAGAAGAGACAAAAACAGAGTTGAGTGAGGCATACTAACATCCATTCAACACTTTCTTGTAAAATGTCCAGAATGTGTTTTGGACCTGATCGTAAGCCTTGATCTTTGTTTTTTCCCCTAAGATCCCAACCACTGACACATCAAATAACTGGCTGTCTTTCCCTTGTGTTGTTAAGTAAATATAGCAGAGCGGGATAACTCTAGTACGTAACCTCCATTCTACGTTTTTTCCCCCTGCTGGATAGTTGGTTTTAATACAAAATTACCACCCAAACTAAAGAGTTTAACATAAATATTTAAGTGAAATGCAAACTCAATCTAAATTAACCTACTTTCAGTGATATTTATTTTCCTGAACAGATGACTTTTGTTGACCATTAAGACTATAAACCTGAATTGTCATTATTATTTTTTTTTTTTTTCATTTTTCAATATCAAACACACAATGCATTTTTATTAAAGAGAACCACTCAACAACAGACTTTTTTTTAAAAGAAGGAAACATTATTTTAAGTATTAGGTAACATAGCATTGTTTATTTCTCAAATTTTATTCTACAGTATGGCTTTCTGATGCACAATTTCCAGCTGCCTTTTAAAAAAGTTGAACAACAGTCCATGACTGTCGGTTCTCTGTGACGCTGCAGCAAAAGCAGGATCTTCCTCTGGTGGACGCCGCAGTCTTTAACTGAGCGCCTGTCAGCTCAACATCGCCATCTGGCGATCATAGGAAGAAGCGCTGGATTCTTTTTTTAAATGTAAAACTTCATCCATTCGGTCATTATTCATAATGTTGGCGTTCCTCAACAAAGAAAAAAAAAAAAAAAAAAAAAAACAACAACAACAATTGCTTCAAATTCAAAAATACTTTATTAATCCCAAAGTAAGATGTTATTAATTATTATTAATTAATTATTATTGTTATCAACTTTTGTAAGCGATTCGCTATGAATATATGACATCAATTAAAGGTTTTCACGGAAGTCAACTAAACAAGCGAAATTTTATTTATTTTAATTAATCAGGTGATTTGACCTCAACGTCATCAATAATTGTACTAATACTGCAACAGTTACAACAACGTATTTTTGATAAAACTCGGTGGACTTTCTAAGTGGGATTTGTGTATTTATTTAATTTAACCACATTTAGTTCAGTTTAATTTTCAAATATTTAATTTTGAAAGGCAATTTCCGTTTCAGCCTACCACGCATGCGCTCTCCTGTTCACCAACAGCGGCAGTGACGACAATAATGGCGTGCTGTGCTAGCCGGTTGACAACACGCCTGTTGGGAGTTTCTGTTTCACCCGGGCCTTTCTCCGGGCGCCTCCTGGTTGCCCCAAGCAGACATGAGAAGGCTCTCCACCCGGCGGTCTGTCACCCTCACCGGGGACGGATAGCGGTCAGCCTGAGCTCCTGGGCTCCCGGTGGCGTGGTGACATTGAGGGCTCTGCCAGGTGAGAGGAGTTACCTAACTCCAAACAGGACAGTGAGAGCCTGACAGCACAGCAGCGCGTCTTCTGCGGTCCGTAAAGCCCGCAGGCTGCTGTAACATCCAGCTGCTCTGGGTCTAAAAAGCTAAGAAGTGTTCAGCCGCTTCTGTTAGGTTAGCTGACCTTGGTGTGGGGATGATGCAACAACTGTTGCAAAAGTTTTTGGAGACGGGCAGAAAACCAAAGGGTCTACTCTGGGGGTCGTCTAATTCTTCTGGGATGTTACAAAGCGGACTATAAAAGCACTGTTGCTTAATTTGAAATCAAAATCTAAGCAGTGATGTGTACAAAAGATCCTCCAGGATGTTGGAGAGCATGCTGCCATGACATTGTGTCTGAAAATGCCACTTATTTGCATGAAACCACTTGCTGTGGCAGCATAGAAATGCATATAACGAGCAGAAGCAAGAAGAAAAGCAGCTGTAAAAGGGCCTAAATCATTGTATAAATTATGGTCAGCAACATTTCTGCCAAACATTTCAAGGTTTCCCCCAGAAAACATGCTTGTCATGGTAGTTGGGCGGCTCAGCACTCCTTCATCCAGCAGCCTGCCATGTTTATGAGTTACAAATGTTGAAAATATCACTTGATAATTATGTCAAGTTTTTGGAAGATTGGAAGAACACCAACCAGAAAGTCTTTAAAAATGCCAACATTGAAAAAACATTAATAAATAATAAGCAATGCTAAGCCTGGTGGGGTCACAAATAAAGTCTGATGGCCCACCAGGCTTATAATACACTGAGGGAAACTTGCATTTAAGTGAATTCAATTCCCTTATATATAATAACTTGATTTGAAGTTCTGTTCAACTTCTGTTTGTTTAACTTCTGTTCTTGGGAGTGGGCATGTCACCTTTATGGATTTGTATTTAGTAGTATAGCTACACTATGTTTTGGTCAGTCTAACACACATTTCCATCAGCTTTATAGTGTTCAATCCTTTTGTTCCCTTTTCCCGACAGGAGTGAAATGCCCCCATGGCATCACCTGTCACTCCTTCCACTCCAGCTGCAGACTCCCAAACAAAGAGGACTTCTATGAGATCTTGGGTGTCACTCGCACTGCTTCACAGAAAGAGATCAAGAAGGCTTACTATCAGGTCCAAGACACATTGAGATGTTTCTTCAACCCAGAACTGACTTTTATTCCTAATCTTAACATATTTAAATGTTTGGTTCTTTTTTGTTTGTTTTTTTGTGTGTGTGCTTTCCCTTCATCCAGTTGGCTAAAAAGTACCATCCAGACACAAACCCAGATGACCCGGAGGCAAAAGAGAAGTTTGCAAAGCTGGCTGAAGCCTATGAGGTGCAAAACCGTTTGTTTTTCTTTTATCCTGTGACTTTAAAGTGTTGGGGAATTAGTTTTGAAATTCAGTCATTCAAAGGGGATCTGTCAGTATTTTGGTTCAGCTTAGCTAACTGATTTGTTTTCTATAGGTGCTGAGCGATGAGGTGAAGAGAAAACAGTACGACACGTACGGAGCTGCGGCCTTCGACCCGAACCGAGCTGGAGCGGGCCAGCAGCAGTACTACCGAGCGGGAGGGTCCACCGTAGACCCCGAAGAGCTCTTTAGGAAGATTTTTGGAGATTTTCGGGGGGCCATGGGCTTTGGAGACTTCAGCAACTTGTTCGACCAGCCACCTGAGGTAATACTGGAGTTATCAAGCTCATTTTAATTTATCTCCAATAAATTAAAATGCTTATTGCCCACAGGCTTAACTCAAGGGAAGCCATTTTGTTCATTGAGGTACTAGTTGGGATACAAAACTTTAGATAATTTAATTGTTTTCAAGTAAATGTTTTTGTGCATTTTTTATTTTATTTTGCAAAAGTACAAGCTTAGTTTCATTACACCTGTAACACATTTTCACATACGTGGGAGATTAAATTTTTATTTTGAAAGAAGAGGCATCTTTATTGCAACCCTGCTGTCTAATCCAGACATATGAGGAAAACGGGAGATTGTTGTGAAACACAAACAATATATTTCTTCAGATTTAAAGGAGCAGCATCGTGCAAAATCGACTGTTTTGAGCTTTACTTCAAATATTAACATTATATTATAACATCATGTTGTGATATTATTCCCTCATTAAAAACATCCCTGGATTCTTTTATGCATCTTTGCGAAATCCTTTAATCTCCCATGGCCTACCAGTCAGCTGTGCAAAACACCTGGGTGGACCTCGCTCTGCCTTCCAGGAACGAAGGTCCTCCTCGGAGCTGCACTTTCTGAGCTTCTGTCTCATTGAGCAGCCCTCCTCCAGCTGAACTCCTCCAGACTAGCCAGCAGCAGTTAGCAAACACCTGGTGGAACTGTGCATCTGCTGAGCTCATTGTAGGAGCTGCTTCTCAGAGCAGCGCTGGTAAAAAATATTGTTGGAGGGTTTATGGGTGAACCATGTTCCTGATGGTAGAGATGGTAGAGCAGGAGTTTCTTAAAGAGACAGTGGCCTAATTTCAAAGCGATAAATTAGGAAGTAAAATTTCTTCTAAGTCATATTTGATATATACAGCTTTTATATAGCAACTGAAGGCAACATAGTTACTTGATAATGCTGTAAAATAACTGGAAGATGCATAGTACTGCCCCTCTATGCCACGCTACAGCTTTTGCTAAAATATGTAAATGAGCAGATACCATCAAAATCCTTCCAGGACAGCAGCACTTTAAATATTTTAACAAAAAATATTTTTAGTTTGAGTTCAAAAATGTATGCTAGTTAACTTGTGAGTTTTATAATGACTTCTTTTCAGACCCACTGTCCCAACTCAAACTTGGAAGTCCTTTTTTGAAAAACATCAATCCATGTTCTTGAAGCATGCACTTTACATTGATTAACGTCCATCACATGCTGTTTTCCTCCGCAGTATGTGATGGACCTCACGTTTTTCGAGGCAGCGAAGGGGGCGAGTAAGCAGCTGAGTGTGAACCTCGAAGAGGACTGCCCTCGATGTGGCGGCAGGGGCAGCGAGCCGGGCACCCGGGTGTCTCAGTGCGGCTACTGCCACGGCTCCGGAGTGGTTCGTTTCACACCCGTTCTCTCTCTCCGTCTCCTCGGATCGGATCCTCAACGAGGAACCCATTCTTTATACAGGCAGTCGGAGTTTTTCCATCTGTCTCCCCGTCCCCACGCAGGAGTCGGTCAACACGGGACCCTTTATGATGCGCAGCACGTGCCGACGGTGCGGCGGGAGAGGGACCATCATCATCACGCCCTGCGCGCTGTGCCGAGGGTCGGGCCAAACCAAGAGGAACCAGAGCGTGATGGTGCCGGTGCCGGCAGGTGGGTTTTCACATTCTGAAGAGGGATAAGTATAAAATCTGCATCAGCTGCTTCTAAAGTTGGTTGTATGCAGAATTGTGACTGGTGTTGAATTCATCTCGTCTGGTGTTAATATGGAAGCCTTTTAATCTTGAATTAATTAATTAATCGTAATTGTGTTTGTTTGGTTTTTTGTTTGTTTGTTTTTGCAGGTGTGGAAAATGGCCAGACAGTGCGCTTGGCTGTAGGGTCCAAAGAAATCCTTATTACATTTAGGGTAAGTATTGAAAGTTGAAATGCCTACCCTCCAGTGTATGTGTGTGTGTGTGTGTATATATATATATATATATATATATATATATATATATTTTTTTTTTTTTTTTTTTTTGGGCTATTGCGAGTTTACTACAAACATTTAGCAAAAATAGACAAAAAACATTGGCTTTAAGTGACTGACTCCCACCTGCAGGTGGCAATATTTCTGATTTCTACTACACTGCTGCTTCAGCCTTAAGTGACATAAAGTTAAAAGATCAAGAACAATCAATGCAAACCATATTGCGTATCAAAATCAAGCGGTAAATTTGATCTCTGTTTGGACGTTTTGTGGATTCCAAACTTGCAGGTCCAGGGAAGCTCGGTATTTAAACGGAATGGATTCGACATCCACTCCGACGCTTTCATCTCCATAGCCCAGGCCATCCTGGGAGGAACAGCCACAACACCGGGCCTGCATGACACCATCAGAATAGCGGTGAGTAAACCCACAAAGATGGACCTCAACTATTTGTTAAAAAACAAAATTAGGGGTTAACCGATTTATAGCGACTGTCTCGCCACATTTAGTGGCATTTCAGACAAAAAAGAATTGGTGTTGGCCAGAATCGGAATCGGCAGGTGGGCTTTTTATAGATCAGCGATCGGCCAGAAAATTACAATCAGTGCACTGCTACAAAAAAAATTAAATGACGAAATAAAACAGAAGTTGTTTATGACTTCATTTGTAGCTGAACTGCTTGGTGTTGTCTATTTAATCACACAAACTGCTGCTTTGTGTCCTCAGATCCCTTCTGGCTGTCAGAGTGATCAGGTGATCCGCTTACAGGGCAAAGGCATTCGGAGGATGAACAGCTACAGTTATGGAGATCATTACGTTCACATCAAGATTAAAGTACCAACGTAAGACCCACACTTTTACCTCTCGGTTGAAACCTAAATCTGCTTGGGTGTAAATACATTTGGAAGTAACTGTTTATTATTTCCTACTTGTTTAATCACGTGTTTCTTAGGTTCAGTTATTTATAAATGGCTGAACTATTTCATCTCTATTTTCTGAACATATGAATAAATGGATCATTAACACCCTGTTAGTGTTCGAAGACATCCCGGTGTGAATTTGTTGTTTCCTTTATACCACAGGAAGTTATCTCGACGGCAGCGGTCTTTGTTGCTAAGCTACGCAGAGGAGGAGTCGGATGTTCAGGGGTCGGTCAACGGTGTCAACCCTACAGCAGGTCTGGAAGACGGTTCCCATCTTTTTGAGATTTTTGGCAGAAATGTATTTTTCCTTTTTTTTTTTTTCTAAAAATGACCCCCAGATGCTGGAGTGTAATTTAGATCTGTCATTTTGGCCGCGGCTGATAAAATGCCTTCTTTGTCCAGGAGGGGGCAGCAGCACCTCAGACTCCAGCACAAAGTCGACATCTGAGGAGGAGACGCAGGACAAACAGAAGGAGGAAGGAGGCTTCTTTTCCAAGCTAAAGAAAATGTTTAGCTAACACTCAGCTGCAGGTCAGCTAGTTAAACTCCCAACTATTCTCCTGACGCATGACGGACATGACAAGTGTTATCATAATGCGCTTTATTCTTCTACTCTGAATTCTAATTTTGCAGATAGCATGAAGGAAGAAAACAAACCTACTCCTCCTGGCTGGTCCTCCACGTCTCTTCCTGGGGAAATGAAGCAAAGGAAAAGCTGGCTCCTGCGGCGTTTGTTGCCGTAGACACACATACTGGTGTATATTTAAAAGCCGAGGTTGGAGAACCAGCAGGGTTCATCCACACACCCTCTGACCCTTCACTACAGGCAGAGGGTGGCTGAGGAACTCAAGATCTGCTGAAACAAAGCAGAGACAGCAGACTGTTGTCTGAGTGGAGCAGTTTGAAAGATGGAAACAGTCAAACCAGACAAAACTCAATGAGCAAAGAAGGCACTAACTGATGGAAGCTGGATAAGAATAAACGACGTAAATGGATTCTAATAAGCATTGTTTTCATTTATTTTACGGCACTTCAGTGAAACGCTAGTTTAAAAAAAAAGAAAAGTTGGTAAAGGGTTAAGAGGATGTTGCGATGACTTCCTGAAGGTGGAGTTTCAGAAAAGCAGGAGCTTCTTAAAGACAGAGGCCCAATTTGAAGGCGCTAGATTATGAAGTCAACTGTCTTTTTAATCAGGTTTGATAAGCGCAGCATTCTTGATTGTGCTATAAAATAACACCATGAGGCTGGAAAACATGATGCTACTACTGAACCTCTAAACTGAAAGGGTGAAAATAAGACTGCACAGGACTTTATACCATGCAAAGAAAAAGCAACATGAAACAAATGGTAATGCAGTTAAACAATACACAAAGACAAAATGTCAAATTAGAACTTTTATTAGAAATGGGATCTCCTGAGGATTAATGTAGTCCAGAGGAAGGTTTTACAGGAATGCTAAACTTAAGGCCACACATCATTGGATCGGTGTATATATGACTTTTATTTTAAATTAAATTCCTTCTGCATTTGATGGCTAGCTGTTCATACAGGTCCAGTCCCAGATGAGAGTGATTTTCCTGATCACCTCTGCCGTGCTGCAGTCTCTCTCAGCGCCTTGTCTGTTAACGCAGTCAGGAAGCAGAAGCTGTAGTGGAACTGCAGCACGTCACACACTTTGGACCAGAAGTGTCCCGTGAGACTCTGGAAGACCCGGTACCGAGCGAGCCAGTGATCCAGCAGCTTCAGCGCCACGAACCCCACACAGGACAGCACAGCCAGCAGGAGGTAGCCCGCTGTGCGGCTGTCTCCGCGCGCCACCTGCACGCGGACTCCTCTGTACAACGCCAGCGCGACGTGACAGCCCAACGCCACCTCAAAGCCGCGCTCGTGCGCGAGCGCCAAGCCGTAACTGGCGACGGAGCAGAGCTCGAGCGCCGCCGCGCGCGATGCGCGCCACTTCCCAGGCGCGCGTTCTACGTAATCGATCCACACGGGGACCCACGCGAAGATGGGTAAGGTGAGCCACTGGTCCAGCACCGCGGGGGCGCGCCGCAGCGTTGCCAGGCGCGTCCATTGGACTGGCGCGTAGAAGACGGCCATGAGGGCGAAGACCTGTCTGAAGTAGCAGCTTTGCTCCGTTTCCGCTCCGCCTGTGCGCCAGAGCAGCCAGTACAGGCCCAAGAAGATGTAGGCCACGTTCACCGAACAGTTGAACGGCATCGCCAACCACGCAGGCATGTTCTCAGCCCTTCTTTCTGCGTAATGTTCGTACGTCAGGTCCACTTCAACCTCACCGAACAGGTTCGTGTTCACCAAAGCGACACAGAATATGAGCGGTACCGTCACATGCAGCAGAGCCGACCTCATCCTGCTCCAGCAGTTACAACCGACTGGGGAGAAAGTGGACTGAAGTAGCGAGCTTTCTGGGTCAAAAGCCTGAGCGTTGTTTATTTCCGGGTTTGAAAAGCGCGTGTTTTGGTTTGAGGTTTTCCATTGGTCGCTTTTTCGCTCGTGCTGCCAGCCGGACCCCCCTCCCCCCTCCCTCTTTCTCCACCTGTCATTTTGTTGAGTCTGCAAAAGTGAATGCAGTCACACATTGATTCTCGATTATACTTTAGAAAACAATGTGCAGGAATCCTCGATGATCATAATCATCATATTTTCAAAAACTGAATGGGAAGTCGGATATATATATATATATATATATATATATATATATATATATATATATATATATATATATATTTGAAAATGCATAAAAAGCATAACATTATAATAAAGAAAACTAAAAAACCATTTTTACTCACATGTTGAGTCTAATTTAAGATGTTCAGAGATGGCCAAAGATTTGAATACAAACACACACAATAAAACATGAATGCGTATTTGGTTAATCTAATATATTTTCTGTAAAATCTAAACATGCTCCGTTTTTCCTTCATTCCCTAAAAGGTTCATAATATATTGAGTTGGGATGTAAACCACTCAGACATGACATGACAATCTGCTTAGTAACAGTGTTTTCATCTCCTGTTTGCTGAAACTCATCAAGCCACGAACGACATAATAATGATAATAATAATAATAATAATAATAATGATAATAATAAAGTGTAGCATTAAAACTGGACAACAGGTGGCAGCATTTAGCCAGCCATCACTCATCTTCATTCATCCCTGCAACACCACTGACCAGAATGCTGACAGAAGCTCAGGCTTTCTGTTGGATGTGTTTAACCAGACCACAAACCTTTGGCCACAACTAAAGCTTTACCAAGACGAAGTGGATTTATTCATGCAAATAGGACTAGAAGTGAAGCAAGAAGAAGAAGATATGGGTGCACACAGATTATGCCGATAGGTTTTATTATGGACAGTTCAAACTTTCATCCTGTTTTTGTTTTTGAAAACATGATATATTGTGATCTCAAATTGAAATTCTAGAAATATGTTTTATGTCTTAGGTTTTTGAGCTTGTGTAAATAAATAAATTAAAAAATATATATATTCTGCCTGCATAGAACATCCAATAGTTATGAGCATAATGGAACAAAAGGCAACTTTTTATCATTAAAAAAAAGAGAAAAGAAAAAAAAATACAAAAAAGGTTTGCACGTTGCTGCAACAGCTTGATGCTGTGGGTCAGTGTGCGTTGTGTCACCGCCACTCATTAACCTAATCCAGGCCTCATTGCTGCAAATTGTTTGAAACATTCGCTAAAAACAATGAACTTCAAGCTGTCTGTTCAAGCAAACAAACGCAAACAACTTGCCAAAAGAATTCTGGAAGCAACTCAGCCTTCATGGAGTGAGTCACACACCACTGCAAAAATAAACATAGCAATGAACTGATGTGTTGTTCATATCTGATATATGAGAGGACCCATGCATGACTTGCGGCAAGAAACGCTGCTCTTGCAATTGATGCGTTGTTGGCAAGCTGGTGTTGATCATAATTAGGTTTCACTTTGCTTTTTTTCTAAATCGGAGCAGGTTATTCTTTCCCAATCCCAAATCTTGTCGTCCAGTCAAAGTCCCCCACCCAATGAGCTTAAACAGACACGTGTGGGAGAGCCGAGCAGCCAAAGCGTCAGAGGCTAAGGCACTGGAAAACGTTTGAGTCCTGCTCTCTGAAGCACAACACGAAGAGTCAGACGTTACATCAGTTCTTTGTCAGTTCACAATCAAAAGTAAAAACAAAAATCCGATTGAAGCTGAAGAAAATAACCTACATATATATATAATTATTGTGGATTCACAGTTCACGTAGAGCAGCTTAAGCGTATTTCTATCTTTGTAAGGTCTTCAAAACTGTGCTAATCGACCAGATTTCCCAGTTATTATGACGTCATGATAACCATAATTTACTCGTTCATGGTTTGCAATATTCCATGATGAATGATTTACTATATGCTGTGGTATTTTCTCTAACTCCTTTCTTTGTTTGCGTTGGGACAAAGCCTTGTTTTGTATTAATCAACATTATTTTCTCTCTGAACTCAGGTTTAAAAATTAAGAGAACAGAGATTAAATATTTAGTCATGAGCATGAAAACCTCACAATCACAATCTCATTTCAAGTAACGGTTTCAGTCATTGAAAGTTTAAAAATAGATGTTCAGCTAAAGCACTTTGTAAAAAAATATAGTAAAGAACTGTTTAATGATCACCAGCTGGGTAAACGTAGAAATGACGTGGCTCATATTTGTCAGAAATTATTTACTGTTGCGCCTCAAAACAATAATTTTAACTAAACTATAGAATTGCTGCAAATGTTACAACCAAAGACTGCTGTTGTTTCTATCAAACGAACAAGCTCGTTCATGCGACCAGTCATTAAAAATCAAGGCAGTGACGGATGTAAACAGTTACACGAGATGCATTAATATTTCAGTGTTCATCATGGATCAGCCATCAGAGGAGACGTTGGTTGAATTATTTACCTTCCTCTATCTGCCCATTTTCTGTCTGAGTGGTGTGGATGGAGGCCGACGAAGGAGAGCCACAGGAACGCAAAGATGTCGATGTTGGCTAATATTAGCATTTTGGCTCATGAGAACAGCAAATAGCATCAGGTGTTTCCAAATGCTGGCTAATAACATACTAGATCATCAGAAGATAAGTCTAACTTCAAGGTAGAAGACAATGTTTGATTTTAATAGAAAAATGTCAATAACAGGATCATTTTTTCAAGGAGTTATTATAATAAAGGTTCATTCAAGAGTCCTAATGGACTTTTTGTTGTTTATTAGCACACAAAAGACTGTAGTGCAGAATTAATATTGTAGTCTTTTCATGAGGTAACTTAAATGTTGTGTATCTTCATTTCAGCTCCCAGTTTTTAATGAAAAGCATCAGCCCTCAATGAGGAAAAAGTCCACAATCTTTGTGAACATTATACATCCAATGTCTGCTTTGCAAGGCCAAAAGTTAAGTATTCGCCAAACACATTCACATTCATATGCTTCTGACACTGAAGTAAAGCTGGAGGGACGGGGGGGACCAAAACCTTTGCAAAATCAGAAAGTGGACGACTTTTGTCCAAGACAGCAAGACTTCACCAAGGTCAATAAAAGCCAATTAAACTCTGGCCAGAACAAGCAACTTAAAGACCTCATTTAACCTTGTCTTGCAATTAATGCCAAAAGTTAAACAACCTTTCACCTATACAAACAGAGAAAAGCTCCTGCCTGCCAATCAAGTGTGACTGACGTGTGGTTGCTGGGAGTAACTGGGAAACCTGAAATGGCATCATGGGGAGGTCTGATTGATTTTTTTTTCTTCAGCCGCACAAGTAAAGGAAGCTCACATCTTCTCACGGTTCAATACAAAAGGTTAAAAACAGAGTGTGCTGGGTAATTGGACTTTTAGGGTACTCCTGTGCCACTGTGCTACTATTGCACGCTCATAGGCAATTATTTTTGAGAATAAGAATACATAGAAAGAGAAAAGGAACGAGGCCACACAATGTAGCCACCTATTTATGGCAGGAAGCTCTGTCTGCATTTATGTTCATTGGCGTTTAGTCTGGAGGACCCCCCAGGCTTAATGGCAACACACTCTTAACAACAAGCCTAGTTTACTAGAGCTGCTACATACCTGCTTATAAATGAATTTTGTTTCACATACAGAGCATTAAGTCAGGGATTTTGTTTGATTTGTTCTCTGTGGGTTCTCATGTGTTTTAATAAAGACTTTTGAAGGTCATGGGTCTTGGTGTCGTGCCAAAATATGAACCAAAGGGGGTTATTTGGTTGTTTTCCATAATCAGAACTTTATTCATGATCAAAATAAGGTGATTTCTTCCTTCTCTTGAGAATAATGAATAATGGGACAATACTGAATGTTTTTGGTATGGGCTCTGCTTTCTACTCCAACTCTTGTTTGAGTTGTAAAAACAAAATGTAGGTGGGTGATCAGGGCACGATTTGTACTGCAACCTCGCATTAATAGAGTCATTATGTATCGAATGACACTTAAAGACAGCAAGTTTTTCAGCTAGGTGAAACCCATAATATCTGCTATAATGTAGAAGTGTGGGCAGATCTGAAAAGGTCTATGTGGATGAGACGGCTTGCAAACTTCACGCAGTTCCACCAGTTCTGTCAGGAGGAATGGGCCAGAACTTCAGCAAACTACTGTGAGACATTTTTGGGAGGAAACCCAAAATATTTGACAAAGTCGTACAGTTCAAAAGCAAAGCTACCAAATACTGAGGACATGTCTATAAACTTCTGATTTTAAAGACGTTCGTACACAAAACTCTAACATATTCTTTCTTTCATCATTGAGGCATTTAACAAAAGAAGCAATTCTGGTCATTCTTATTGACCTAACCAACAGGAGTTTGGTCTGATTCAACTTTAGATGGAAAAAAAAAAGATATCAACATACACAAACTTCTGGTTTCGACTGTACCAAAAAATAAGTGTTGGCCTGCCCAAAACTGAAGAGTTAAAATCAGAATATTTTACACAAAAGTAACTTTTTTTTTCTTTTTCTAACTAAATATACTTCCTCAGTGTTTTTTTTTTTTTTTTTTTGCATGCCCATGGAATCATAGAAAAAACATCCCGGTATCATTAATTTTAGTTGACGGCTGTATGGCGTCTCCTGCATAAAGACAGAGAGTTTTGATAGGAGACTTTGTGTCTCCTATCAAAACACAAAAGACCCAAAGTCTCCTATCAAAACACAAAAGTAAACCAGAGCAACATTAATTTTCCTGAGATGCATGAAGGCACCATGACGGAGCGCATCCATGTTTTTGTAGGACTTGGGTTTTACCTGAGACAAAAGACCATTAAGCCATTGATCCGGATTTTAAAGGCCTGACCTTTTCGGTGTTATAAAAAGTAACCTTCCGGGTTCTAATCTTAAACAACCACTGCCGATGTCTCTTACATGCGTGGTTTAGAAATGCA